ACCCCGTCGCCTTCAGCGCTCGCCCTCGGTTGCCAGGCGAGGATGCCCACGGCTCCCACGAATGGGGTCAAGGTCCGCTCGGCTTTGCCCCGGTGCGCTCTCCTGAGGGCGCGGGGAGCGAGAGGAAAAGCTGAGCCTCGCTGTCTCGCTGGCAAGCCCAGATTGCCTCAGGAAGCACCACGGGGAGACCCCCAGCATAGGGAGCTGCTGGGATGGGAAGACCCACCCACGCACCCACCATTCCCCTCCCTGCCTTGCGACAAGGCAAGCATACCCTTGTATGCGGGCGCGTACACACGTGTGTACACGCGCACACATACACGCAACTCAAAACCAAGGGCACGTCTTCCAGCAGCCCAACATTTAAAAACACGCCGCCCCATTTGCAAATTCCTTATCGAGAGCCTTTCCAAATGCTCTCGTTCACTTCGCTATTGCCTCCCGACGGAGTGAAACAGGTGAGCTGTGAGGAGGCTTTTCGATCTCGCCCGCTGCCCTCAGCAAAGCGTCCTCCCCCAAAGTGGCATAACCCTTCCCGAGTGAGAGGCGCTCAGCCGTCCTGACCTGGAAAGGTGCTTCAGGATCTGCTTTTTTATGATGCTCGCCATGGCCTGCGCATCCCAGCCCCGAGGCTGCCCTCTTCAAGGAAAGCAAAAGCAACCGGGCGGTTGACCCATCGCTTCTTCCTGCCCGGTGTCAGGCAGCGCCGCGGAACCACCACCGCCTCCGCTCACCCTCGCTCCGGCCCCGCCGCCATCTTGATTGCAGCACAGCCCGCCGGCAGGCTCGCGAAGAGCGGGGGCTGGGCGGGGACAAGGGCGGGGCCGGGCCCGCCGAGCCCTGCCCACCTAGGCGCGGTGTCCCTTCGGCGGTGGGCTGAGCGCTACAGCCGCTGCTCTGGGGCTGCGGTAGGGCGGGCGGGGTGGCGGCTTCTTCCCCCGGCGACTAAACGGACTTGAGAGGCCCGGCCACGCAAATGGGGCGACCCTTTGTAAATACGTGTCTGTTGTACTCTGAGTAGACCCGGGAGGTACCTCAAGTATAGGATTGTTTCCTCACTCTAGCCTATTTGCAAAAAAAAAAAAAAAGGGGGGGGAGGTAACCAGACAACCTCCCCTGAAGCCTTGTAGGCAACCTCAGCAAGCATCTCCTCACCAACAATGGAAGAAGGAGCATGATAGCATCATGTCAATGGCCACGGGGTTGATTTTAATGTTTTATCCAATTGGGAACAAAACAGTCCTTTAAAATAAGTTTTATCAGACAAGTGACCGCGTTAGTCCGTTTCAAGGGGGGAAATCGTGGCACATTTGGGACTAATAAATTGGTTTCCATGTGAACTTTCTGTGGTTTACAGTTTTCTTCGTCAGTTACATGTAAGGTAAAGAGAAGTTAGTGGTTTGTGCATACTCAAGAAACATACACATATTCTGAACAAGTATACGTTTGAAAATTAAAAGAAAACAATATATACAGAAACTCAAAGACAGCTTGGCAAGCCTCCAGGATGTATATCAAGGTGTGAGTTGAGGGTTAATAGCTTTGCAAAAAATAAAACACTGGAAATAACTTGTGACTGAGTATTACACTCTTTTCTTATGTGCCTTAAATGAATTTTTAAAGTTATAAAAATGTTTTAGATTACTGTTTTATATTATTCTATTTTTAATTGTTTTCAATAATTTATTGTGCCTATAGGTTTACTTGTACCAGTGTTTTAATTAATCTGAGACTCTGAGTCCTGTTATGGGAGAAAGGAGGCATAGAAATGTTACCAATACTGTATTATACTATTTAACAAGAGAAAAAAGTGGAAATAAATTGTGTCATTGCACTACATTGCCAGCTGCAATGTTTACAAGTACTGTACTACTATTGTTTAAATTTGGACTGAAGACAGAACAACAGCTCTCACCACTGTAAAAAAAACCAGCACGTGTCAAATACATCTTGTTAACTATTATTTTATAATAAATAAAGTGGAATTAGTTGGAACTTGCTTACAGATAAATATGTGCAAGATCGGGTCATACACAAGCACCTTCAGCTAGCTTGGCAAGTTTTGGGGTCTGAGTCCCAAGTCCAAGTCTTTGGTGCCATGTCCCAAGCCTCAAGCTTGAGTCCATATTAAAAACAAGTCCACCCCCCAGAAAAAAGGGAGGGGCTGGATAGGTTCTGAACTGAGTCACCAGTGTGACTTAAGTCTGACATGACAAAGTCCTGTGACTTGACTCCCTATCCCTGGCAAAAGCCTTGAAATGCAATTGTTTTGTGTATTCAACTGTCAAAGTCACTTTCTGGGGAAAAAAGATTAAATTTTCCACTAGGTGGCAGTAAATGTTTTCCTATATTTTTATTCTATTGATATTAGTCTGTTCAGTTTGCTAAAAAGATAAGTATTTAAGGTTTATATTAATTTGCATGACTAGTAAGGATATAGAAATAAACTGTTTAGTCTCAAGTCTCTGATATGTTTTTATATATGCTACTACTTCCCCTTTATTCAGCACTGGTTAGGCCTCATCTAGAGTACTGTACTGTCCAGTTCTGGATACTACACTTTAAGAAGGATGCCAACAAACTGATGCAAGTTCAGAGGAGAGCAACAAGGATGATCAGGGGACTGGATTAAGCCCTGTGATGAAAGACTGAAAGAACTTGGCATGTTTAGCCTTGGGAAGACAAGAATGAGGGGAAATAACAGTTTTCAGATGCTTGAAATGGAATTAATACAGAGGAAGGGCAAAAACTGTTCTTGATCGTCCCAGAGTGCAAGACACATAATAAGGGACTCAAGCTACAGGAAGCCAGATTTAGGCCAATTATCAGGAAACATATCTTAACTGTTAGAGCAGTATGGCAATGGAACCAATTATCTTGGGAGGTAGTGAGCATTCCAGGAGAAAATTGGATA